AAGGGTACGGAGAGCGGGGTTCTTTCCTCCTTGACCGGACTGTATCTGGAACTGCCATATGGATATGTCAATAGCTATGCGAAGAGGGCGGCCGGTTCTTTCGAGGTGTTCCACTGCGATTTTGGACAGCGCTATTCTCTGACCAGGCCCAATCTGCTTGTAAATGCTGTGGAAGAGTCGGTGTTAACAAAGCGAGATTGACCTGGATTTGCGGGACAACTTGCCCTGGGATTCCCATTTCATATAATTATACTCATAAGATGTCTGAAGCAAGCAATAAAGCTGTATAATAAGAAAGCAATGCTTGGATATAAGATCCTGAGATTGGAGAGGCTTTCCAAGTCTCACGTCTTTAATTACCCGGCGGAATACTTCCGCGGTGACACGCGATCACATGATCTGAGTCCACTGAGCACCCATTCAGAAACCAGACTTCACTTCCCTCTACACCACTGTCCAGTCGACCGAATATTATTGTGTCATGCGTTGAGCTAAGGGTTCTTGCACTCTCATAGGTAACTCCTCCCAACTATTGGGTCCCCAAGGAGTAAGTATTCGAATCGGCAAATCCTTCTCTTCCTTTTGCTCTGCCATTCGATACTCGTCTGGGTCTACATAGGATCCAGAAAATGATGCACTGATACCTCTTTTTTCAAACAGCCTCCCTTTTCTTTCCACCGTTTGTGCTACTTCTTTGCTTCGCTTACATTGACTGTCTCTGTCATATTGCAAACTGTGGAATTACCCAACGCCAGCAATGCTCCCCTACAAGATAGGCTGCTCGGTTTAACGATACCAGTAGTAGCGCCTAAATCCGGCTCCGGGTCCTCATCGGCGACAATGAGTGTACCTGCCGCCAGATCTACCTTTACAATGTCATCATAAACGGATCCCGGCGCATATAGTATTATGGCAAGCCGAGAATGATCACCTGTGCAGAAAACCATAAGCCACACGTCCCCTTCATTTGATTTGCAAACCCACCGACTACGAGATTTCCACCCAGAGGAGCGGCAGAAGTACCCCCACATGAGCGTTTCAAGCGTTGAGCCTCACCGTGAATACCTTTCCATGTACTTGTGTCATGCGAAATGCTGCCATTGATAAAGCGAACAGCCAGTAATGCTACCTTGCAGCCGTCTTCATTTGTTCTCAGCTGACGGCGGCATGCTTCAAATCACTGAACAAACTGACCGTTCTCGCGCAGGAATGGAAGCTCTACCCTGTGTGACCATTGCGTTTGAGTGATGTCCTCGAGCTTGATGGAGGTTTTGAGGGAAAAAAGACGACTGAACCGGTTGCCGATTGGTATCTCATCGAGTATCAAATTGGTACAGAAAGCCGGTTGTGGTTGGCCGTATCCATGGAAGTCGCATCGAGGTATATTACTGCCATGACCCAGGGAGAGTAGAAGGCCAGTCACGATGACCCTGAGGCCAAATCTGGTCATTTTGCAAAAGGCACTGCTTTCTGTGGTTTGACTTTTGGTTGAGTATTGAATCCGCTGTTCGAATGGATCGAGTCGTCTGCTTGGGTCTTAAGGTCTTCGTGCGCCTAAGTCTGCAATTTGTGTCGCATTCCCACAACTCGTCCCTCACAAGCGTCGAGTGGTCCACCCATCGCTTGAAGGGAAGATCCTTCCACGCGCAGTCAACTGTGCTGACGCGTATTTCCAAGCATCTGCGTTCATTACGAAGGCGTTGGCATCCTCCATAGGCTTTGATTCTTCCAGAATCCAGGATCATGTCACTGACACGGGGTCTACATTTCTTTGCTGTTCTGGTCTGCGTTGTGCCTGCAAATTGCTTAACTGAAGCCGAGAATCAATTGTCAAGGTTATATCCACCATCTAATCTATTGCATCCTACCTCCTCCTCGAATGAATCTCTCACTCCAAATGATGTCTCAAAAGATAACGCCTTAACTATCAAATGTGATGGAGCGCAGTATGGTGTCAAACTGAACATTGCCGATTGTAAAGATGCGAAGAGTTATATCTCTTCTGGCTCGGAGCAATTCCCATGGGTAGGACGTCACACTCGCTGGCACAAGCCTCACTTTGCCCTGCCATATAGATATATGGGTGGTAAGAATGAACGTGTTGTTTTGACCCACAATGGTATTTTGCTGAAACTTAATAGACAAGGGACTGTGTTACATTCAGATCGGTCTGGCCGAAGGTTACTCGCACGCTTATGCAAGTCTCTACGAAGTCCAGAATGCTGCCAATGCAGTTATTTCAAAATGTGAGACGGGCGACGAATTGCAAGGCGGAAGTGCGACCAATATGGGTCAGTATGATCATGTGTACTTTGCAACTGCACTTCTTAGTCCAGCCGCTGACATTACTTAGGAGCTGACGGCGGACTTACCATGTTTTTAAGTGCCTACCAAGCAGCAGTCGAATGTCGTGGAACTTTCGGACCCCGCAAATCCTGTGTGACAATCTTGGACGACATGGAGGTTACGCAAACAACCGAGGTATTCGGCTCTAGAACTGATCCTGCTGCAAAAGTCAGACTTCCAGCAATTGTTGAAGCTAGTAAGATGTTCTAATGCAACTCTTGCGCCATTGTGGCTCTTGCTCACATCGATGGGTTGTAGGGGACGGTAAGAGTTCGCTTCGTGTGTTGGGCAATTCGGATACGACGTCTTGGTATCGGATTTGGGAGGCTGCGATGCTTGTCTATTCAGTGTGTGTGAGAAGTGGAATGGGAGGGAGCGTGAAAGGACTCGGTATGTTGTAAGCTCTTCACGCAGCAGAAACTCACGTATGTTGCTAGGTGATCACGGCAATATCTTCTTGACGATGACTGCTCAGACTGGCTCATTGAGCAATATTACGCAGGTTACAGTTGCCAAACTCGACTGATGTGCATCGTCGAAAGGAAAGAGCGACTATTAACGAATTTCTAAGGCTTAAGAGCACAGGTGAGTCACAAGATAACAGATCGCAGGCCAAGTCTTCCTTTGGCCGATGGCTATTATGTATATTCAGATGCTATAGAACAGAAGGTACAAGACAAGGGTCAGACACTGTTCGCATTCTACACGCCGGCAGGTGGAAGAACAACGAGAAACCCAACTCTCAAAAATAAAACATCTAATCTCACAGACCTGGGTTCTCGCTCTTGCCTATCTCGCTTACACTTTCCAAGATCGCAGTCATGCCGCATGAACGTATGCAAGCATTCTTGTTCTCATTGGCCTACAAGATTGTGCAGCCTTGCAGGACGGACGGTAGGATCTGGCTATCCACGTTGGAGGACTTTGTTCCTTTAAACACAGGTGGGCGATGCCAAGCACATGCAGCCCGGGGCAACATTGTATAGTATCCTCTACAGCCTCCCCCACAAGGCTGTAAAATCGATTTGCAACATCGACGCACAAACTCCGATTATAAAATCCAATCCTTTCCACCGTTAAGCATGCAACCGGTTGTACCTTACCAAGCTCCTGAATCCGGACATGAAGCGCTCCGCGCAATATATTTCGTGAGCATGTCTTTGTCCGGGAACCTTCGGGCTCCAGCCTGGCAATATCAGCACCAGTCGGACCCATTGATTTTTATCAAGATCAAGCCCAAATTGGATAATGATGAGTTAAAAAATGCTGCACACTGCATCCTCCTAGAACATAACACTGACTCGTACGACCATGCAAGAATGACAACATCCATTTGACAATAAAGATAGTTCCGCCCGGCGCCATGCGCAAATTGTGCTGGGAATGCTCCTCTCTGAATCTCTCAGCTGATATGAGATAATTCCGGCTCCAACGGTAGACTAGAAACCGGGTGTGGAAAATACTACCTCGGCACCTTGGCGACTATTCGAGGCAAGGCTCGCTTGTGTCCATTATGTAGCCTCATCGTCGGGCCCGCTCAGGAACAAACGGTCCTAGACTTGTCACCGAGCTCTTAGAACTCCACTGTCGCTTGTCATATGCAGTGGCATGTAGATTGCCGCAAAATAAGGTAGTACATCCACAGGGAAATCCATTCGCGCCAGGACTCGTCGGGTCCGGCTATCACGGACATATCCTGATTTTCAGGACGCTTATATTGTTGCCATCTCAGATCCCTCCCAACAAGACATGCGGTACCTCCAAATTTGGACCTCGTCCGCAACCTTCTATCTCACCATGGAAGATCCGTTATAGCGTAGATACGGTCTAGCAGACAATCGAGGAGATTTGTGGTGGAACGGTCACAGTACACACAGATGCGAACTTGCTTATTCGGCCGTGAATCGACCCACCATTTCATCGCGATCTCCGATGCACATCATTTGACCCTCGAAGAGACTGATACGTGGACATGCTACATCCCAAAAGAGCAGGATCAGTCGAAATGGGATCTCTACTACGTGTTGCTGATAGCATAAGATGAACACCATATCGCCGAGCGTTTGGGCCTTGGTAAAGTTGATAAGAACGTTTTCGCCATCTCTTGTGGCGCAGGCCCAGAGTAGAAAGATATTATACTGGGTTGCGCATAAAAATTCTAGCGTTGCGCTTTCTGGGTTTACAAAGCGCTAGCAAACTTCTGGATTGGTACTGATCGATGAAAGGCAGTTCACCGAGGAACTTTGGGTAATATTTTAATGGCACTGATGATACAGCGGTTCAAAGATTCACAATAGCCGATTGGAAGGTATGGGGCCACATTTATCTATCGGTAGTCGAAAGCCTTCTTGGCCACCGGTGGTGATGTTAGGACCAACCGAAAGAGAGAACACAAGTCTTACATGAGATTATTGTCAAGATCTTCGGATCTGAGCAAAGAGCCGACATGGACCAATTAATTGCACGTCTGTGAGATCTCAAGGTCGGTTTCCTACATTTTAGCCAACACATACATCCGTAACGTCATGATCTAGTATGCAAGGCAACAAACAGCGCTAACACTCAAAATCTCCAGATTCTCACATTCTTCGCGTACCTCGACTGTCATATTTGGCCACTGCTTTTACGCTCGAAGTCCTTGGAAAGCACACGACATGGTCGAGACTGTAGCACAAATAGAAGAAGACCAGCTCAAATGGTCATCGGCACCAAACTACGCAGCAGTCCTGGACCTGAATCGCCAATACCTTCGCGGTGAGATGATGACGACGCCCTATAACCATCGCTCGGTTCACCACGAGACGAAGCCAGATGAGAAGCTGCTCCCTCTTCACGATTATGGCTTCCTCGCTTTTGACTGGCAACCGGGAAAACACGTAGGGCCCGATTGCGAGATAGGCCAGATGACCATGGACGGTGAGCTGAAATGTGAAGGGGACGGCACTTTCTCCGAGATCCAGACGAGGGATTGCATCCACTTCATGATGCCACTAGGACTGTTCAAGCATGACGCCCTGCAGGTGTTCTGGTTGTCGCTCATAAGGCATCCCGCGATCGTCACCAGAATCGTGACCAAGCGTCACGGGAGACTGTACCCCGGCAGCACCGAGTCTCCGCATGTCGTAGTCAGCGGGAACCTCGACTCCGACCCCTATCCTATAGCCCGCCGTCGTGCGGCCCCCACCGTGGATCGGCTCAAGGACGCGGTCTATTTGACGTACGGTTACGCGCCTCCCGTCCCGTTCGTTACGGAAGCTTCCAAGTGGAAATGCGATGCTTTGTCAAAGACTCTCCCTCTGGAGTTCTGGGTTGCTGCAAAGCGATGGGCTGGGACGCTTCGCGTTGCGGTGTTGGTCGAGGACTTGGCGGTGGCAGCAGGGCTGAAGACGGTCTACACTGAGGGTTCTGCAGGGAATGTAGGCTCGGCTGCCTCGGAGACGCTTGCACTTGATGAAGACATTATTTGCCATGCTCAAAGAAGCGTAGACCTTCTCTTTCGAGTTGACCGATAGTCTTGCTCTCTATCTTTCCAGATTGCAGCCTATTAGGATGACAGCCCGTTCAGCGCCCTTTGTTTCTCACCACTCTACTAGCCGCTTATCTGTATATGCGATACAGCTATGGTAAATAATCTGACCTGCCAAATCCGCTCTACGTATTCGAGCACTGATATCTCGGATTTTCTGCCTCTGAATTTATCTAAAGTCGACATACTAAAGATCGTGTCAACCTAACAAATAGGTACCAACGATTGACGACATCGCGCCCCTTCCTGATACTTGATACCTTATTATAACAGTCGATCTGCCGAAATGCAGAGATGTAGAAGCTCCATACTCTGTAGTTATCTAGCGCTGTCATGACTCCCCCGAATCTCCGCACCGTCCTCTTCTTCCCACCTCACCTCTCCCCCAATCCCACTACCCTCCCCCTTCTCACAGCCCTTCAATCGCTACTCAACGTCTCCTACACTGCCACATACTGCCCTCGTCCAGATATCTTCGGCACCTCGCACCTCCGCATCGCAGATCCGACCACATTCGCCGACATCATCGGCGCGGACGGCTTCACCATCGTCGTCTTCGCCGCGAAAAGCGATCTGCGCCGGGATCCGACCGAAAGCAGCGATGGCGACAGGGCACATGCGAGGAGGGACGGCGAGCTGGTGCAGATGGTAGCGACCGGTAGCGTAATGGCCGTCGATGACGAGGATGTCAGAAAGCGCGCGCAGTGGGCGTCCCGTGCCGGGCGGGCTGCTCCAGGTCAAGAGAGGCAGGGCAGGGATGACTCCGATTCTAATTCCATCTCTGCTGCGTTGGGAGAACTCAACGACAAGCTCCAAGCGCTCTGTCGTGAACGACAAAACCCAGTTCCCATACACGAACTTCGCGCCTTTGCGGTCTCGCCTACGCATCGGGGCCTTGGGCTTGGCGCTCGTGTTTTGAAAACTGTGGAGTGGCTGCTTGGTCGCGATGCGGCTGGCGTGCTGGATTTTGCAAGGGGAGTACATGCGCCGGGATTTTCAGGGGCGCATTTGTCGTCGTCGTTGCGGACTGAGATGGGTGGTCAGGTGCACGGGGTGGATTTGGATGAGGTGATGAAGGTTTTAAATCAGACTAGAATTGCAGATTTTGCTGGGTCTGAAGCTGAGCAATTGCAAAAAGACACTGCAAACGGTAAAGAGAGTCAGTTAGGTCATCGCAAACTTGTGCTCGTCGCTATCCGCGAGCTCGGCAACGAGGGTTACTATCAAAGGCGAGGGTATAAAAGCCTTAGGACCCGTATCCTGCCTTTGGGTACTTGGGGCAGTAATGCTGAGTGCACTACTGTTTATATGGAGAAAAGTATTTGAGGTGAAAATTGTTTCTGTCATGCACGATCAAAATCCACGGGCTGAATACCGTACATGTCAGTGCTCAAATACGTAGAATTACGACGCCGATTTGCCTGCGATGGCTGCCATGACATGCTTGAAGGACGGTCACGAGGATCTGGTAATGAATGTCAAAGAGCTTTGATGAAGCAAGATCGCTGGGATTGAGCCTATGAGATCAGGACTCTGACAAAATTACAAGCTAAGCGATCACGTCAAGTTCTTCAAAGTACGCTGGCTTAGTCCTTTTCGCCACCATAGATCAGACCCAGGACCTGCTTGCAATATCTTGACTCTTTTGGAACGTATTCGGTCTTTAAACAAAGCTTTCGATAACTAGTCTCTTTCTACAATCTTTGTTCTCTGCAGTTGTTCTGATAAGGTTCCAGTAGCGTTTTGTTGTCTTTCGTTATCGTTGTTCGCTTTCAAGTCAACAAAAGCTGTCACGGCTCAACGCACAATCCATTGTCCCTCAAGAATATTAGTGTCGGTTTCTTCATAGAAGCACCGCGTAAGCATGCTTTGTTGCACGAGACCGGGGTCCTCAAGCTTCTTTGTACCGTTGAATAGAAGTACTTTGGAACAATGGCTCTTGTTCTCGCCACTCAGCGAGACTCTTTAAAGCTGTCCAGGGGATTCCTGCATCGATGGAAACCCCATAATTCAGACGCAGCAAATTCACGCCAGACTTCCCGTCAAGACACACGACCGCAAAAGACGGCGAACAAGCACGGTCCGCTTGAACGTTAATACACGCAAAGTCGATTCCAACCATGGTGTGGTTGACCGGGGGAGGCGTGGAACCAGGCGTGAAGAACCGCGGCCCCATTAGAGAGCGCGGAATTCGTGGACCCTCGGAAACACACGGTTCAGTCGTCGTGAAAGAGAGCTATGACAAGCTCCGACACATCGGCGAAGGCGGCCAGGGCAAGCTCTGGGTCGTCAAGAGGAAAAGTGACAAGAAGGTCTTGGTGCGCAAAGAGCAGAAACGCTTCGACATGCACGGTGCCATACCCTGCGAGATGTACCTTTTCGAATCGGTACTGACCCGCCACCCTAGCATCATCGGGTTCGATCACGCTAACTATGTAGAGGCAAATGGCTCCAGGGGTTCCTTGGTCTTGTACTTCGAACACTGCCAGGGGGGCGATCTGAGTGAGTATACCCCTAGAGGAAGAGAGGGGGGTGTCTCAGAGGATTTCATATGGCACTGCTTCATCCAGCTTGCGGACGCGATTGCGTTCCTTCACTATGGCTACAACCGCTTCGCAAGATATCCCAGCTCCCCGCCTCGGGAGTGGAAGAGAGTCGTCCACCGGGACATCAAGCCCCCCAACGTTTTCCTCCGCCGCGAACCCACAAGCCGGAACCCCGTCCCGGAAGTCGTGCTCGGAGATTTCGGCCTCGCGACTTTGAACGGAGTGACCTATGGAGGCGGAACGAAGGAGTGGATCGGTCCCGAGATTCCCTTGATGACGAAAGAGAACGACGTTTGGGGCGTAGGCTCCATCATCCATGCTCTGGCCCACGGTAAAGGCCCGGTTTCGTGGCCCCCTAGGGATTGGCCCAGAGGGGAGGCTGCGGAGGATAGGTGGTATAGATCTCCCAGGGCGAGGCAGCCGAAACCGCTCCCCAAGGGCTATTCGAGTACGTTGAATGAGAATATGATGGATTGTTTAGTTAAGGATCCGGCCAAGAGAATTAACAGTTTGCAACTGGTGAAGAACTTGGTGGCGGAACGGTCAAAGGCGAGGCGCTGATGCGAGTTGCGTGCAATGGTCGCGAGGGTAGGAAATGAACCTGTTCGCTCGCTCTTCTTGAAAAGAAATATATATAATTTAAATGAGTCGAAAGTAATTAAAAAGATTAAAGTTAATAATACGTTAAAGTATTAATAAGATTTTATATAGCTTTATAGATATATTATCTATTAAACGATGAGCTTAAAAAATAATCGATAGTTGTTAATATAATACGCGAGGCGAGTCGCTATCAGTATATATAATAGAATAAGATAGAGCTGAGCTAAAAAACCTTGAATTTGTATATGCAGTTAATTAATATATGCTGAGGCGCGGGCTTTCCAGTAGTGAAAAGCTTGTCAAGTACTGATTTTTAACTATTTTTAATTCTTAGAGAGATCCTCTAAAACCTCTCGAACCCTTCGAGAACTTTTTAAGAGCTCTTTAAGAGCTTCTATCGAGAGACTATTAAAATAAATTTAAAATATAATTATTTTAATAATATTTAATTAATTTCGAGTTTACTTTGATAGTCCCTCGATAAAAACTCTCGAAGAGTTCTTAAAGAGCTTTAAAGAGTTTAAGAGATTTTAAAAGATCTAACTCTAAGAATCGAGAGAGACGTTGTAATTTATTTGATATATCTAATTAGAAGAAGATCCTCTAAAACCTCTCTAACCCTTCGAAGACTCTTCGAGAGCTCTTCGAGAACTTCTATCGAAGAGACTCTTCTCGTAAGCTCGATAAACGAATACTTTATTAAATTTCGTCTACGCTATATTATTTAAAAGCGTATAAATAATTTTATAACTCTACGTACTTAGTTTATTATTATATTTTTAATAAAAGAAAAGAAATTAAAAAAGGTGAATTTAAAGATTTTAAAGTTCTTTTTTAACTTTCTCTTTTAAATATACTCGTATATACCCGCGTTTAGATCGAAAATAAAGAAATAAGATATATTTTAAATTAAAAATAGTAAAATTCGATAATCTAATTAATTACTAGTCTCTTAGCGTAGAAGTTATATAATTCTTTAACTCTTAAGTATTAAGAAAGTAAGCTTTTTAATAAATTCGAATTCGCTACGCTCTTTAATTAGATCGACTAAGTTAGCTCGATAGCCCTTCCGCGTCTCTTTATTAAAAAAATAGATATACGTTATTCATATAGAGAATACCTTTTTTTTTTTTTTTTTTTTTTTAAGATTATTTTTTTAAATTATAGAGCGAAGATTACGCTTTTTAATAGCGTAAAATTTTTATAATTTAATCTTATACTTATTAAAGAATAAGAATCTCAAATATTATTTATTAAAGTTCGCTTATCAAATTTACCGACAGCTCTAATTAAAAAATAGATATATATTATTTAATTTTAGAATAACTTTTTTATTTTCTATTAATTTTTTTTTTAATTTTAAATTATAGAACGTAGTTTACGCTTTTAAGTAAGATAAGAATTATTATATTTAATCTTATAAATATTTAAAGATAAGAAATATAATTATTAAATTTACTCGATAGCTCTAATTTAAAAAAAAATTATAAATTTAATTTATAGACCTTTACTCGTATTAATATAAATTCTTTTAATAATTATTATATAAGTAAGAAGATACGTCTATAATCGAGATATAATTAATTAAAGAATAAGAGTTAATTATATTTAGCGTTAAATAATAAGAGTCTTACGACTAAAGTAAATTATAAGTAGAAGCGAGTTATATATAATAATCGCGAGAGTAAGAAATAAATCTATTCGCTCGCTCTTTTTAAAAAGAAATATATATAATTTAAATAAGTTAAAAGTAATTAAGAAGATTAAAGCTAATACTACGTTAAAGTATTAATAAGATTTTATATAGCTTTATAGATTTACTATTAGATATATCATCTAATAAACGATTAATTTAAAAAATAATCGATAATTATCAGTATAATACGCGAGGCGAGTCGCTATATTAATATAAATTCTTATAATAATTATTATATAAGTAAGAAGATACGTATAAGATAGTAAGATCTCTTTTAATAAAACTATATAGTAGCTATATAATTACGAGATCTAAATATATAGTTAATAGAATAGATAGATTAGTTACTAGATAAATTAATAAGTAAAAAAAAAAGAAGAGAAAAGAGAACTTATAAGTATTTAAGACTTTATTAAGTATATTAAATACTCGCTTTAGCTATATAGCTTATAGCTTAATAAGCGACGTAAGCGAGCCTATTAATTTATTTCGAGTACTTCTACCCTTATAACTATATTCCCCCTTAGAAAATTTAGCCTCTAAATCTTATTATTATTACGTCTTATAATTAAATATTTACGAACTTATTAATTCTTTATATATTATCTATTACTAGCTTAGACGTAGCTTAAACTAACGTATACTATAATAGCATATTTAGATTTCTTACTCTAAGGTCTCTTTAGATATATTAATATATTTATATACTAAATCGCGATAGTATCGCTATATATATTATTGTTTTAATTAATAGAATATAGATATATTACTACCCTATTGCGATATACTATTATTACTATTATTATACGCTATTATTATTATTATTACTTTAATAATCGTAATAATCTTATTATTATAATCGTGAAAGTCGCGCTAATAAGTATAAAAGCCTTATTTTTAATCTAACTTTTATTCTTCTTAGTAATAATATTAACGTCGATACTATTATAAGTAAGTACTCAATTCTTCTTTATATCTACTATCTTATCTTTATTTATTTTTATCGTAATATCGCGATAGCGAGTTACGTATTATTATAATAGTATAATATATATATTAATTAAGATAATAATTAAATAAGATTAAAGTTACTTAGATTAACTTTATATATAATAAATATCTCGAAAAATACTTTACGATACTTTTTAAATAGTATAAAGAATAGATTAATATATTAATAGTAATATTAAATCTTCGCTCTTATAGCTCTACGAGTTATTAAGTACTCGTAATTATTATTATTTCTATACCCTCCGCTATAGCTAATAAATATTTATATCTATTTTAAAAATATACTTAGCTAAGAAGGCTTAACAGCTCCCTCTATCGCTATTTCTATCTTTATCTATAAATAAAAGAGATACTAGATAATTAAGAGATTACACTAATATATACTAATTTCCTTTTATTATTATTATTATATATATACTCTCGCATATAATTCTTATATAATTTATACCGCGCTTTCTATTAATTCACGC